ATGCAAAGGGCCCCACAGATGTGATCCTGGATTGTCCTGGGGGCCCAGTGCCATCACAGGGGTCCTGACCAGAGGGAGGGCAGTTAGGGTCAGAGGGGGAGATATGAGCATAGGGGCAGGGTCCCTGCTGGCTTCGAAGGTGGAATGGAGGGTCCCCACGTCTGGAAAATGCAAGGAAGTGATTCTCCCCGGAGCCTCCAGAGCGCCTTGGGGGCTGCTTTGGACTTATGACGTCCAGGACAGCAGGATAATACGTCAGCGCTGAGCCCCTCCGTCTGGGCTCTGCAGCCACAGGACACTCCCAGCTGGAAGCATCGGCTGGAAGGTGGGGTGAGGTGGTGGCGTGCAGGGCCTCCTGGCTGGGCCATGGAGTTTGGCCCTTTCTCCAAGGCAGCCTGGGCACTCAGCTCTGCCCTCTGTGGCTGGAACAAATCTCAGGGTGAGGATGGGGCTCTCACAGAGAGGACCCACCATGGTCACCACCCCCACCCAGGGCCCACTCCTTCCCGAGGGCGCTTGTTCCCCAACCCCCCACAGGCCTACTTCTCCATCCTGGCCTCTGCCTCAGGCCCCTGGTCAGTGGAGCTGGGGCTTTGGTGGGGGTTTGGGTCCTGCAAGTGGCCCAGTGAGGAGATGTTCACTAATGCCAGCCATGGGAAGACTGTCCACAAATAGCCAGACCCTCCCTGTTTCTGCTGGCATAATCCCAATGCTTTTTTCTGCCTGACCAGACCAAGGAGGAAACCCCAGCCTAGGACAGGGAATTTTAGATTCGAGGAGACACCAGAGCAGATAAAGGTTTAGGAAGAGGAACCTGGGCAGTGCAGAGTGGGGTGGGCATCTGGACAGAGGAAGCCTGAGCCTGGAGACCAGGGAGGGTGCTACTGCACTAAGTCCCAGCAGTCAATGATCGGGCCACACAAAGCACAGCCTGAGGGAGTAAACGTGGGGGGACAGGCATGAGAGGGATTTAAGAAGCAGATGTGAGGGGCGCCTGGGTGGCTCACATGGTTGAGCGTCTGCCTTCGGCTCAGGTCATGATCCCGGGGTCCTGGGATCGAGTCCCGCATCGGGCTCCCTGCTCCTTGGGAGCCTGCTCCTCCCTCTGCCTCTGTCTCTCTCTCTCTCTGTCTCTCATGAATAAATAAATGGATAAATCTTTAAAAAAAAAAAAAAAGAAGCAGATGTGAGGTCTTAGTAGGGGTGTGCATGAATTATCCCCATCCATGCCACTCCTGAGTCTGAGCCATGTTTAAGAGGAACACAGGCGTCCAGCGAGTGGAGGCTGAACTCTGGCTTTTGTTACTGGCAAGGGTAGGTTGGTGGAGACACACTTTCCCAGAATCACTGTGCACACAGTCCAGCCAGGGTTGGGTGACGAGGGCCAGGCCAAGTGACATGGGTGTCCCAAGCCCCCTCCACTGCCCACCGGGACCCCTGGAGTGGGGCTGGGACTGATGCACTCAGGCTGCCAGGCTTGGGCCCCCACACATGTCCCAGCACCTGCCCCCAGTCAGCTCCGGTGTGGGCCATGCCTGGCCTTACAGAGCTCAAAGCCCTCGCTGCCCCCGCCAGTCCCTGCCCCTGTGGTCAGGCCTCCGTCCCTGGGGAAGAGGCTCTGCTCTTCAGAAGGCGTGGACCTGCCTCTCCCCACGCCCCACATATTGATCTTCCTGGGGAAAATCAATAGCTCCAATATGTCAGCTCTCAGGTGAACCAGCCCTGCCATTGGGCGCACAAGGGCTGGGTCCTCCCCGCCCATTAGCGAGACATTAGACCCCAGAGAGGTTTCTCTGTGTGCTTTGAGATAATGAAGGCCGAGGCGTTGGTTTATGCCCTGAGGGGGTGGGGGAGGGGGGCTCGGACCAGACCAGAGCCGGCAGCGCCTGGCAGCCCAGCCCCCGGCACCTGTCACCCAGCGCCCTGCCAGGGGAGTGCTGGGGTCGGGGAAGGGGGGCGTGGCTGCCTCAGGAGGAGGGCGTTGGAAAGGGCTGTGGGTTCGGGCCTGTGTCATGCGAGGGGCTTGGCTCTGGGCAGCTTGCTGTTGGAATGCAGGGGGCTCTGCGACCAGGCGTCCTGGACCCGCGTCCTGGGGCCACCATGACACACCCCGGGTGATTTAAAACAACAGCAAGTTCTTCTCTCAGTCTGGAGGCCAGTCTGAAGTGAAGGTGTTGGCACAGCCACCCTCCCAAGGGTCCAGGGGAGGGTCTGTTCTGGGACTCTCTCTCTCTCTCTCTTCTGGTGTTGCTGGCAATCCTCAGTGCTTCTTGGTTTGGGGCCTCTCCGCATGGCCTCCCCCATGTGTCTCTGTGCCTTTTCTCCTTCTCTTAGGAGGACACCAGTCCTTGGATTTAGGCCCCCCCAATCCCGGGTGACCTCCTTCGACCCACATCTGCAAAGACCCTATTTCCAAATAAAGTCATGTGCTGAGGTTCCAGGTGAATGTGAATTTGGAGGGACAGAGTTCAGCCCCGTATGGCAACCTAATGCATCTTATCCAGAAGGAGGGCAGACAAGGTGGGGGCTCCAGCCGTGCTTGGCAAAGAATGGTGTCCTTTCCATCAGCCAGGATGGGAGGAGGTGTCGGGTCTATTCTGGGCTGTGTATTTTGTGTGTTCAGATGTGATTACAGAAAGGTCTTGTTTCGTCATGAGCAGTCACGCAGTAGCCTGATACACACTTGTCCTCGGAAGTTGCTTATGCCCAACAGGAAAGACCCAGCTATGCACCAGGCCAGCTCCCAGAGTCCAGGGGCTCTCGCCCTTTTCAGACTCTATGCAACCAGGGCGCCTGGCTGGCTGTCGGTGAAGCTTCTGCCTTCAGCTCAGGTCATGATCTCCGGCTCCCTCTGCCCCTCCCCCATCCCCATCCCCCACTCATGCCTGCTCTCTTTCGCTCTCTCTCAGGTAAATAAATCTTTAAAAAAATAAAAAGACTCTACAGGACCTATGTTTTTTGTTTTTTGCATAGTGCTTTCACCTATAATGGAGACCAAGTGGCAAAGGATTTGGAGACAGAGGGGGTGTCATTTGGACACATGGATTTGCTTTTTTTTTTAAGATTTATGTATTTATTAGAGAGAGCGTGTGTGCAAGAGAGAGAGAAGGAGCAGGGGAGGGGCAGAAAGAGAAGGAGGGAGAGAATCCTTGAGCGGACTCCCCACTGAGCAGGTCCACCCCTAAACTCAGAGGTCTTTGATTTCCATCTCCTCCAGGAAGCCCTCCAGGCTGCACACCAGGATGATTCCGCCTCACTCTCCCACAGTTTGAGTCCCCTCCTCCAGTCCGCAGCAGGGGCCCCTAGGGTTGCCTGTAGGTGAGTTGGTTTGGCAGTGATTTCTGGGGTTGTCTGTAGGTGAGTTGGTTTGGCAGTGATTTCGGATGGGATTCTGAGGTAGATGAGAGAAAAGCTCTCTAAAGTCTGATATACAAGGGAAGCCATTTTAGATTTCTGTATTGGGATGACTTTACATAAACTTTAAATCCAAAGCCTGACTTAAGGCCCTCCACACACCCATTGTTACATCTGTTTTGTGAATGAGTTGCCTAAGGGAAAACCCTCTTGTCTTTTGAGAGATCATCCACACTCCTGCTCCCTGCATTCCTCGAAGTTAAGATTCATAATTCTTGCTTAAACACTAATCTATAATCTTCTGAGCTTTTACAAGACGTAAAAAAGTATATAACTCTGTAAAAACAGTTCATTCTCCAGAACTCTTTCTTCCCAGTTAAGATGTTTCCCGAGCAGCTCTCCTAACTCGGGTTTGAATAAACTCTGTTTTCTTTCTATATTCGAGCGTTCTCGTTGGTACATTTGCATCGACAGGGTGGAACAGGTGGGGTGGGGCCCAGCGAGGAGGACCCGTACACACAGGTGCCTCTGTTGACACAGTAGCTCTGAACACAGTCCTGGGCTGGGAGCTGAGCCCAGGGCATCAGGGGCTGGCTTCCCAAGGTCGGCGGACTCCCAGATGTTGTTGCGCCGGGAACATCTCCAGCCTGCCACCCTCGCCCTACTTTCTGGAGAGTCCCTGGCGGGGCGGGGACGGGGCGAGACACAGAACCGGTCTGGTGTTTCTCCAGGAAGCAGGTACAGGAGAGAGGCGCTCCAGAGACAAAGATGCTGAATTAGGGAGGCAGCACATCACAGTTCACAAGGTGGCCTCGTGATCTGATTTTGTCACCAGTCACCCCCCTACACACACACACATCCCCACAACGTCTGTGATAATGCCTGGACGCCCTGCATGGTCTTCTGACGGGAAAGATCAGCCACACCAAGGCCAGTCCGCCCTGAGGACAAAAGCTCCAGCAGCTTCCCTACCGGGCGGAGTACAAAACCCCGGGACAGCCCGAAGGACACCCCCCAGCCTGATTCGGGAAGGCGGGCGGGGAGGTGCCCCAGGAGGCAGCGCGCTGGGACCCGCGCACGCGGGCACGTGTTCCGCGGGCCCCGGGCGAGCAGGCCGGCCGCGCGGGGAGCGCCGTGCGCGTGCCCTGCGGCGCCAGCTGACGGACCGCTGCCGGGAGGCCGAGCACTGCGCCGAAACGCCGCCCCACAAACGGTCTGGGGCTAGACGCAGCTCTGGGTGCGCTGCACGGAGCAACGCAGAGCACCAGGACGTGGGCGAGGGTCTGCGGTGACGCAGCCGCACGGGTCCCGGGGTTGCGCCTGCACCGCGGGAAGGGTGCGGGGTGCGTGGGGGTCAGGGTGACGATCTCGCTCCAGCCGGGCACTGCACCCAGGCTCCTCACGGCTCCTTCCTCTTCGGGCTGGGAGCGAACTACACTTCCCGGCATGCCCTGGCGGCCTACCGAGGGTGGCTGGCTGCGACGGAAGAGACCGCCTGAGAGTGCGCGTCATTTCCGTCGCGCGAGTGGACCCACGTTCTGTAGTCGTGAACGGAGGCCTCGAACGGCGTCCGGCTTCCGGTTTCGCGCATCGGAAGTGACGCAAACAGGCCGCGCCCGGGCGCCGGGTGCGGAGGTCTAGTCGCGATGCACGGCGTCTTGTGTGTGCCGGCGGCTGGGTGAGCTGTGCGGCTTCTCGGAGGGGCCGAGGGCGGGAGCCACTGACGGGCGCGCTCACAGATGTCTCTCTTCTAGGGCCGTCCGGGCGTTTAGGTTCGTGCGCTGGGCTTCCCGAAACCAGCCGCCGCCCGGTGGCCGGGCTCAGGCCCCGCCCGCGGCCGAGGAAGAGGACGACCCTGACCGTCCCATTTACTTCTCCTCCAGCAGAGCCCACCCGTCCTGCTGGACGGTGCAACATTCCCTGGGAAAGGAGCAGCAACGGCCCTGGTGGAGGGTGTTGCCCTTCAGCCTCTCCCTCACGGTTCTGATCATCTGGTGCTTCTTTAGGCAGGAGACCGGCGCGGACCGGTGGTTGAAACACGTGTTGGGAGAAGAGGAGGCGGAGCCCGGCGATGGTTCGCAGGAGGCTGGAGCTCCGGCTTCCCACCAGGCGAGAACGTAGCGGGCTGCTCGCGGAGGCTAGCGGCGAGGGGACAGGCAGCCGCCCTGATGCTTTTGCCATCGCGTTTGGCCGTTTCTGCCGTGGTTATGCGCTGCCCCGGAGTGAAGGACTCGGCGCACCTGGCCACGCTGACGTGCGTTGAAGGTGGAGCAGAACGTTGTCACGCCGGAACCGGCTCTTTTCCGAACACTTGATGCCCAACGAATACGTCCAAAAGACATCTCATTTTCAGATCCCCAGAAAAGGTTTCGGTTGCATTGTGTGCTGTTGAATTCTGATATGTCTTTCTACAACGTGATCATGTTTCCAAAGCAATTCTGGTGACACTTGTTTGCAGGTCATTTGCTTTCTGAGACAGAATAACTGCCAGAAAAGTTAAACTTTGACTTGCAATGTACTGTAGTGCGTAGAAATTGATATTAGTTTTACAAACTGGCAATACATTTTAATTTGGTAACGTGGAATTAAGCCAATCCCTTCCCCTTTTTTGCATTTCATTAAAAAGGGGGGGGGACTTTTAGTCCTTCCCAGTTCCTTTTTCTGTTTTTCCAGAATAGGAACTGAGGAAAGAAATCTAAATGTAAATTGTGGAATTTACAAAGGATACCAGAAATAATGAACTTTCTCAGCTCTACAAATTTTTATTTTTAGCAAGGTGACAATTTTCTGAGAATAAGATTGATAAGTTTTTTTTTTTTCCTTGACAAATTGCAGGCAATATTTTTGGGTATCTAAATGATATGCTTTTCAAGTACTACCCACCCTTGTGGGTAGTGAATCTGATTTTGAATCTGATTTTGAAACTGTTTATTCTGAATTAAATACAAGATGCACAAAAGGAAGGTTTTTATTTACTTATGCTTCTAGTTGAAGGTTTTATCTTGGCATGTCTGTGGTGCCAAAGTTACCTGGAGGTCTCTTTCATTCAGGTGTTGGAAGGCTGCTGGTTACCTGCCAGTATACTGGCTTCCAGAAGGGTCTCTATGCCGGAGTACTCTGTGTCCCGCCCACCTGGGTAAATTAGGCTCGTTACAGAAGTGGAACCGATACAAGTATGTTCATTATTTAAACACAGGTCAAGATTTGGAAAGACTGACCTAATTGTATCTCAGGCTGCATTGTTATCCCAGCGGGAACAATTTCCCTAACCTGGCATGGTTGTTAATCTGTTTCATTGTGAACTATTTTGTTTGAGCAAGTCATTCAAACCTGAACCCTTCCTTTTCTCTCCCTAGTTCCTGCAGGGGAAAAAAACGTCAGACCTAATGAAAATAATTTTTGGGTTTTTTTGTTTGTTTTTTAAGATTTTATTTATTTATTCATGAGAGGCAGAGAGAGAGAGAGAGTGGGAGAGGTAGAGGGAGAAGCAGGCTCCCCGTGGAGCAGGGAGCCAGATGCTGGGCTCTATCCCAGGACCCAGGATTACAACCTGAGCCGAAGGCAGACAACCAGCTGAGCCACCCAGGCACCCCAAGAATTTTTAATTAAAATTCTCATATGACAGAAGCAATGTGATTTATCTGGAAAAGTTAGATACTGTAATAAGCAAAAGGAAGAGAATCGGAAACATTAAAAATCTCACACCTAGAGCTAACCACTGTGAAAACTTTGTTGTTTACCTTTCCAGATTGTTTTGTGTGTATATAAATACACAGCTTTTCAAAACACAAGGGTGGGTAGTACTGTTTTTGATGATACATCGTGTACCACATGGGAACAAATCCGGAGGATCTCCAGGGCAGCCGCCAGCGAGGGGTGTTCTGGTTCCGGACTTCACACCCCATCACACCCCAGACACGGGTGGGCCTTGTCCAGAGCAAACGGAAGACCAAGGCCAGCTCCTGACCTGGGCTTTTCAAAGGCGCAGGGGCAGAGCAGGTGGACAGGTAAACTGTTACGTAAAGCCTTTTATAATTTAACTGTTTTTGTCCTTGCCCAGCCACACTTCTTCAAGGGCTTGTCTTGCTGCAGGTCATCAGCGTTGTGGGTTTCTGTTCAGAAAATGTCCGCCCACTCCATGGGCTCTGCCTTATTTTAATTTGTTTCTTAAGAAAATTTTTAACTACCAGCCAGGTTGAACATTTTAAAAAATGTCTCATGCCATATATTTACAAAACAGTGTGCTCTGGGCCTAGGTTCTCCCTCCTGAAGTGCACACCCTCCTTCCTCTGGGGTCACCTGGGCAGGACCCTGCTGCTGCTGCTTGCTTCCCGGAGTGCCCCACCCCCTGTGCATCCCCACGCACCCTGCTGGTGACGGGAGGGGCGTGTGACTCCCCCTTGACTGTGAACTTTTTGGATTATTTTTTAAAATCAGCATTCTTGATACATAATTCACATGCTATTCAATTCACCCACTTAAAGTATATAATGAAAATAATGTTTCATATATTCACTTGGAACAGCTATGACCACAATCTAATTTGGGGACCTGTTCGCACTCCTTAAAAGAAAGCTGGGTAGCCATAAGCAGTGGCGCATGGCCCCCCACATCTCCCACACGCACCCCTAAGCAACTGCGTCCATTCCTTGCAGCTCCGCACCCAACCCGGGGATTAGAGTCGATGAATGAGTGGAGTGCGAGTGTGAGCAGCCAGCCTGCTGTCTCCACGCGGGGGACCTGCTCCGGGTCGCGCAGGGCGCTGAGGGGTGGGCCGGAGTCCGCCTGAGCGCCGGCTGGGATGAACGTGAACGAGGGGAGACCGTGTTGGCGGGGGCGGCGCCCTCGGGGCGTGTTCCTGCCAGGCCGGACGCTGGACTCGATCGCCAGGCGGGTCTGGGGTCCGCCGCGCGCCGGTGGGGGCGGGGCGGGGCGGGGCGGGGGCGGGGCTGGCGGGCGGGGGCGCGGGGGGCTCGGCGCGGGGGGAGATCCGGAGGGGCGGGGGCGGGCCCGCCTGGCGCATGCGCGCTGCATTGTTTTGACTGAAAATGCCGTCGGTTTCGAAAGCGGCGGCGGCGGCGCTGAGCGGGTCCCCCCCGCAGACGGAGAAGCCGACCCACTACAGGTCAGTGGCCGGGCCGGTCGCGGTGGGGACGGGAGCGGGGCGGGGGGCGGCCCCGTGCGCCTCCCGGCTCGCGCCCCGCGCCCCTGGGCCTGGGTGCCGCCGCTGGTGCGGCCTGGGGCCCCGCGCCGCCCCCCGCCCCGCGCCCGGGCTCCGGGCGGGTTGACCGCCGTCCGACGCGGGCTGTCGCCGCTTGAGGTCGAAAGGCGGCACCCAGGGTCTGGGGCGGCACCTGGGGGCGGGGGCTGAGGAGCGCGGCAGGAGGCGGGGGTCCACGCGCCTCCAGTGGGGGGTCGGGGTTTTGCGGAGAATGCGCCTGGGGTCAGGGGGCGGGCGGCCATCTGCACCCGGGGTGCCTCCGCCTGGGATCAGGGATGGCGCCAGAGCTTGGGGGTCGGGGCGTGCCTGGGGTCGCTGTGTCGCTCCTGAAGTTGGGGGTCGCATCAGTGGCTGAGATGGGGGATGCTGCGGGCCGGGCCCGGGGAATCGCATCCGGGCTGGGGGTGGGGGGTGGGCGGCCGTCTGCACTTGGAGTGGGTGGTCCCGCTTGGGGTCGGGCGTCGCACCTCGGGTCGGGGATGGACCGCCGGGCCTGGGCTCGGAGGGAGGGCGGCCATCTGGACTCGGGCTGCCTCTGCCCTAGGTCAGTACGCGCCTGGGGTCGATGTGTCGCGCCTGAACTTGGAGGTCACGTCAGTGGCCGGGATGGGGGGTGCTGCGGACGAGGTCCGGAATCGTGCCCGGGCTGGGGGTGGGGTGCGGCGGCCGTCTGGACTCGGAGTGCGGGGTGGGGGTCGCACCTCGGGTCGGAGATGGTTGCCTGCGCTTGGGGTCGGGGACTGTGCCTGGGATCCGAGGGACGCTCTGGGGATGGGGGGCGGCTGTTTGGGGTCATCTGCCCTTCAGAGTGGGGGCTGCCTCTGAGTTTGGGGCACCTTGGCTTGCGGGGTCCGGTCCCCGCCCACGAGTCCCCGAGGCCGCCCGCCGGCGGCGGTGGCGGCGGAAGCGACCCGCAACGCTGTTTGTCTTTTTAGGTATCTAAAGGAGTTTAGGACAGAGCAGTGCGCCCTGTTTGTGCAGCACAAGTGCGCCCAGCACAGGCCATTTACCTGTTTCCATTGGCATTTCCTAAATCAGCGTCGGCGCAGACCGCTCCGCAGGCGGGACGGCACCTTCAACTACAGCCCGGACGTGTACTGCTCCAAGTACGACGAGGCCAGCGGCGTGTGCCCCGACGGCGACGAGTGAGTGTGTGTTGGGGCCGGGCGGGTCCCGTCTTCCCTCGGAAGCCTTCCCGCGGCCGCCGGTGGGGGGCAGGCTTTTCTCCGTCTTGAGGGCTGTGTCTCAGGGACGCCCCGTGCATGGTGCAAACCCGCTGGCCTGCCCACGTTGGACCCAGTTCCCTGCCTTCTCTGCATTAGAACCAACCCTCATAAGGTGCCTGTTAAGTGTAGGGCCACTCGGTAGCTGTGGGTCAGAGAGTGTGCTAGAATGCTTGCTCACACTGTAAATCATATCTGGAACGTTTCCTTTCTTGTGGCTTATCTAACTTCTCTTTAAAAAATTGATAGGGAAGTTATTTTATTTGTAGACTGCCTTTTCTGTAGCACTCTTAAAGTTTAAGAAACTAAGGTTTTGTTTTGGTTGTATTTTTTCTTACAAGTTTTTTCATGGTGTTATGAACAGATGTATTTATTTAGCAATATGTAGACTGGGAAACAGGCAAGCACAGAGTGTGTGTTCACAGAGTGGGCAGAAGTTCGTAGCCGGAGGTTTTGCACTTTTCTCCTGGACCCTTTGAGGCAGGAGGAGGGCTGATCCATCTCTGCCTGGAAGTGGGGTAGCCTCCCTGAGCTCCAGGGCCTCCAAAAACCGCTGCTTGCTCCTCTTCTGTTCAGATCCAGCGCTGATTTGAGGGAGGTCCTTCAGGCTCCATCCCCTGATCCTTTGAAAGGAGCTGGGTCTCCAGGAATGCTCCCTTTGGAAGACCACATTCATTCTGTTGCACGGAGAGTGGAGTGATGTCTGCTGTTCTTCATTTCCTAAAGATGCTCAGGCCAGGGAGAAAACTTTTCATCCATGCGTTATCATAAACTTCATACACTTACACACTTACTGAAAGTGTAGTTGAACACCAGATAGTTAAATAGGAATGTGCCCAGCTCCTCCTCCTTTAAGATGGAGTTATGCTCCTGTAGTTGTTTTTTTTTTTAAGATCGGGGGAGGGGCAGAAGGAGAGGGAGAAGCAAGCTCCACACTGAGCAGGGAGCCATGAGGAGCTCGATCCCAGGACCCTGGGACCATGACCTGAGCCGAAGGCAGATGCCTAATGACTGAGCCACCCAGGTGCCCCTGTTTAATTGCTTCTTGAGCTGATGTTTTCTGTAAGCAGGTCTTCAGAAGGGATGTGTTTGTTAGCTGAGGCCTGGCATCAGGTCCCCCATTTTCTTTGGCCACGTCAGTCACCCCCCTGGGCCTTGGGTCCTGAGTTACCCCAGGGTGGGGGGAGCACTGCTGCTTGACCCTGGTGCGGGGATCCAGTCACCCAGCATGTTTGACTCCGTCCTAGAGCCCAGTCAGTACAAAGGACCAACTGGCAGTATTCACTAATGCTCTTTTTTTTTTAGATTTTATTTATTTATTTGACAGAGAGAGAGAGCAAGAGCAGGAACACAAGCAGGGGGAGTGGGAGAGGGAGAAGCAGGCCTCCCGCGGAGCAGGGAGCCCGATGAAGGGCTCGATCCCAGGACCCTGGGATCATGACCTGAGCCGAAGGCGGACGCTTAACGACTGAGCCACCCAGGTGCCCCGACTGATGCTCTTAATGCATGTGGACAAAGCCTGTTTGCACAGCTGTTTGGGGTTCTGGAGTTTGGATGTCCTGGTATTGACTCAGCCCCTTTGCTGGGCATTAGGGTGGCAACCAGTTCTTGCAGGATGAAGCATCGGCAGTGGACACCTACCTGCACGTGGTCATTTCAGTTGGGCTCAGTAGTAATTAAATAGTACGCAGTTATTGATTACAGGAATATTAATGTGTAATCTAAATGACAGAGGTCATCATTGAGAACCAGGATGAGTGGGAGTGAGCTGCCTGTTCGCCCTTTCCTGTTGTGGGTGCATCCTGTGACCCTGCATACAATGAGAAAGTCACATGTCTGAGTAAAGATTTGTCCCTTGTCTTGAGCTTCAGCCCTTTAGGAAGTGTTTGGTGGGGAGATGTCTCCCATGGGGATCTTTCCTTAGTCCTGCTGCACTCCATGGGAGAGGGGCTTTCTCGTCCCCCACAAGTGGAATGGCCCAGAGTTTGTCCCATGGGACTACATAGTCTGGTTTATGCTGCATCGTCATGGAATTTTTTTTTTTTTAGATTTTTTATTTATTTTCTGACAGACACAGTGAGGGAACACAAGCAGGGGGAGTGGGAGAGGGAGAAGCAGGCTTCCCGTGGAGCCAGGAGCCCGATGTGGGTCTCCATCCCAGGACCCTGAGATCATGACCTGAGCCGAAGGCAGACGCTTAACGACTGAGCCACCCAGGTGTCCCCGTCATGGAATTTTTAAGTAGATAGTCCCTTTCAGAGCAAGGACAGAACCTCCCTTTTATTTCAGTTCTTGGGTTCTTGAGAGTTCTGGTTGGGGCATATGTACTACCAACCTGTTATTTATAAAAGCATGAACACTATAAGAGAGCAAAAACCGTTAAGGCCTTGTCGGGTGACACAAGCATCCAGCATTGTTCTTGGCCCTGGCTGGGGGTGCCTTGTGGCTGAGCTGTGGGGCAGGACAGGACCAGAGAACCCCGGAGGGATGGCACCCCTGCTGTCACGGCCCTTCCTAGGCTGGCGGTCACCTTCTCCCCTCGCTGTCACTCCTCCTCCTGTGGCCCCCCTCCCCAACCGACACCCCTTTTCCTTGGCGGGTGGTCAGCCTTTCCCTCTCACCATCACCCCTTCCCTCTGGGCCCCCCCTGCCGCCCGTGGTGCTCCCTGTGTCACCTCTGGGTAGACCTCCCGCTGTCATCTCCCCCTCCCCAGGGGCACCCCTGCTATGACCCCCTTTTCTCCGCGGGCGGGCCCCCCCTTTGGCGGGGGAGGTCCGTCTGCTCTGGCGGCCCAAGGTCCTTGCTCTCTGGGGGCGGTGCGCTCTGGTGGACACGCCCCTTCCCCCGGAGCCGGCCGCGATTGGCCATGCGGGTCACGTCCTCCCGCGGCGCGGCAGGAACGCCGGGGTCAGCTGCGTGGGGTGCGCATTTGGAAGTCCACGGAGAGGGCTGGCGGTGCAGGAAGCCGCTTCCGAGCCTAGGGTCTGGTCCAACTCCACCAAGTCGGTGTTCCCACTTGTGAGGATCCATCTCAGGTACTTCTCAGGCTGGGCTTCAAGGAAAGCGACTCCTGTCCGGAGGGTTTTCGTGGTCCGGCCCCATCCCGAAAGATGGTCTGAGAGAGGCATTGGGTGTGGACAGCCCCAGACCCCCGCGGGCCCTGCTCCACCCCCGCCGCCCCGCACTCGCCAGACCGCCGACCTGTGGGGCTGGTGTGAGTGTTCGCACCTGGAACCCGCGTGTGGTGGGCCCCTCCCACTGCCCGAGAGCACGTGCGCGCTCCTGGGGATGATCAGGTGCGTTCGCAGAGGCGGGCTTCCAGGGGTCTGCAGGGCCTCTCTTGGAGAACATTTTCTTTGGGAAAACAATCAAGCAGCCCCTAACTATGTCTAGTACAAAGTAACCAGTCTCCTCCGCTGATCCGCCTCCTGCCCTGGCGAGTGGCCTTCCCGACCCCCCAGTTACAGATTTTCTCGCTGAAGAAGAGATGGGCCCGACCCGTTCCTGGGGCCTTATATCTTCAGGGCTCCCCTGGCAGGCCAGGCTCTTCCCCCCACATCCTCCTCCTCCTCACTGCCCTTGGAGTCTTTTGGGGACACAGGTCCTGGGCCAGGGGGGCTGTTGGTGTGTGATTCCATGGGCTTTCCCCTGACAGTCCCGGTGTGCTGCTGGGAGCTTGCTGGCCCAGAGCGGCTGTCCTCAGTGTCTGCTGCACCACACCTGTCTTCTGTCTGGTCTTTCCGCGAAGACCCGAGTGTCTGCGGCCTCAGCTTTGGGTGCATCTCCCTGCGGGGTAGCTGTAAGCTTCCTCCAAGCTGGTCTCACCAGGGAACTCTGCTTGGGCCCTTGGGGTGGGGTGAAAGCCAAGGGCAGGTCCTGAACATTAGAGCCAAATAGCCTGTAGCCAGGGGGCTACTTATGGTCTGGAAGACACAGGCTTTTAGGGGACACATTAGCCAGCTTGAGCGGATTACATCAGGTGACTGGGTTGGCCTGGGAGAGCCCGGAAGAGTGAAGGTGCAGGGATGGAGGAGGCGACTAGGAGGCCCCTGGCACAGGGAGGTCCCACGCAGGCCGGCGGAGCCTTCTGTCTTCCAGACGGGGAGTCAGCTTTGCGGCGCAGAGGGAGGAGTGACACCTGTTGCTGGTACTGATGATCCCTGTTAGGGACTAATGAGGGGTCACTGTCCTGGCTCCGAGGTCCAGAGACTGGGGGTGCAGAGTTGAGGGGATGGACGTGGTCAACGGGTTAGCTGGCAGTCCCCCTCCCCTAGCGTCCAAGAGGAGGGGCGCATGTGCGATGACAGTCGACCTTCTCCCCGGAAGCCCCACCTGCCCACCCCCACCTCCCTGCCCCCACTTGTCTGTGGCCCACGGGTCCTCCCTTTGTTCATGTTTGTTGTCACCCATGTTCCGTGGCTGCATCCCGTTACTCGGCTTGTTCATTTTGCACCTCAGTTATTTGTGTGCTGTGTTCGGGTCTCTCCCCACGTCTGAGCCCCTTAGGCGCGGGCAGGGAGTCAGGTTGCACTTGAGCGTCCCCTAAAGCCCAGCAGCATCGACGTCACCTGGGGTCCTCCTGCAGGTGGGATCTGAGGCTCCCACCTGGATGGCAGTATCAGACCTCTGGGACTGGCCAGCCCTTCCGGGGCTTCTGACGCACAGTGTGCTCCTGGCCAGTGCTGGCGCGCAGTGGGGCTGGGCTTTGGTGGGCCACCTCTGTCCCCTTTGCAGATCCATCGTGGTGAGGGCTGCCAGAGGGAGGGGTCAACTTTAGGCTCTCCTGGAGAGGTAGGGGCAGCCTTGAGCCCCCAGTCTGTTCCTCCTGCTCCCCCCTTCCTGGCTCCTGGGTTCTAGCGTGTTGGGGTTGTGCGGGTGTCCTGCGTGTGCTGCTGCATCACACCCGTGATGGAACCCTGGTTGAATTGCATTGTTTGGTCACTAATCGTGGCAGATGGCTTGAGAACCAAGGGGCTCACCTGAATCTGGTGCTCGGCAGAACCTTGTCACACCTGGGTACATGGTGGGTGTGGCGGGCTTCTACGAGGAAGAATCTGCATGCAGTGTTGGGCTGAGCCCTGGTTCTTTCCTGCCCCAGGGAGAGTTCTGGCTTTCCCGCTGTGTTCTGTCTGAGGCCTCCCTTCCCCTCTCAGACCTTCCAAAGGTGGAACCATTTTTCTCCATTAAGAGCCCTCCAGTGTCTTGAGGTCATGCCCTGAGTGAAATCATAGTGCCTGCTCGGTGCTTGGTGCTCGGTGGTCGTGCTCAGTGCTCCATGCTCAGTGGTTGTGTTCGGTACTCGTTGCTCGTGGTCAGTGCTCCGTGGTAGGTGCTCCATGGTCGGTGCTTGGTGGTCGTGCTTGGTGCTCCATGCTCAGTGCTCAGGGCCAGGCAGGGGGACTGGGCTGGGCTCTGGTTGCCTTGGCAACAGCACCAGAGAGGAAACCAGAGGGTGCTTAGCACTCCCCCGAGGGGCCGCTAGGGAAGCGAGCGAGGGCTGAGACGTGACATCGAGATATCGGGATGGGAGGTCAGGCGGGCACCTTCAGGGAGCATGGTCGGTGCCCTTTGCGAGTGGTGTTCGGTCACGTGAAAAGTAGGGGCAGGGCCCCGTGTTCTCCCCCAGGCTGTCCAGCGTGGCTGAGCTCTCCGTGACAGCCTTGGCCACCTGGCTGCCCAAAGCTGAGTCACAGACCAGTGCTGGGACATGGTGGTGTTGAGGTGTGAAAACGCTGCACGAGCGCACTTTTCTGTAGGAATAGATCAAATCTCTCTCCTCTCCCTCTTCTCTGGTCCCAGTGGGCTTTGTCGACAATTACGGTTACACACATAGGACGTGAAATGTGTCATTTTAACTGTGTTTTCCTGTGCAGGGTAGTGGCAGTGATGACTTTCACCATGCTGTGCACCCATCCCCACTGTCTGCTTCCAGAATCTTTCCAGCTTCGCACATGGGAGATGTGCCCATTCTGCACTCAGTCCCCGGGGGTCCCCGAGTTGCTCTGCCCACGCTCCCATCCCCTGTTGCTCTTTGACTTCCTAGGACTGCCTGGAGACTTCATCCTTTCGTGTCTGGCTTCTGTCACTGAGCAGAATGTCCTCGAGGTGTACATGTTGTAAAACGCGTCAGAATGTTCTTCCTTTCTAAGGCTGAGTAACGTCCTGTTGTCTGGATGGGCCCCCCTTTGCTTCCCCGCTCATCAGTTGATGGGCATCAGGGTTGTTTGAGGCCGAGGCTGTCGTGAATCCCGTGCTTCCGGCGTTTCTGGGTGCACCTCGGGAGCAGAACTGCCCGGCCTGCCCGCTGGCTTCTTCGGTGGTTGCTTGGTTGGTTCTGAAGGACCCGGCCTCGTGGGGCATGGCGTCCTGTCTGTCTCCTCGTGCTGTGCACACCCCAGGTGCCCCAGAAGGTCTGGGGTGCTCTCTGCCAAGGCCGAACCTGCATGTCCTTATCGTAGGAGATAGGGGTTGAAAGTGAGCGGCCCCCGAGTCGTTCTCTCTGGGTCTCATCTGTGCTCCGTGTGGGGAACCTCATAGGGCAGTGAGGTGGGACTGGGCCTTACCCAAGCCTCATGTGGTGCTCCCCGGCCGTTGCTGGAGGGGACAGGCAGTGACAGGCTCCCACCTCACTCCTTGGGTGGCTCAGGGACATGGCTGGCTCAGACTCCTTTTCCTCGCTTTTCTCTGTCTGTGGCTCTTGTCTAGAGGGACTGACCGACCTTGAGGTGGGCTCGGGGACCATCTCCACGTGTGCTGGCCACCCCCCTGCAGCGTGAGCCCTTCGCTGCTGGGGAGCTGCGTGGACTCCCCTAGGAGTGAGTGGCTTGGCACCTGCACATGACCCTGCCCATCCCCCTGTATCTGCTCCTCTCTTGTCCCACCGTCGTTCCCCTCTAGCAAGGTCCAGGCCCCTCCTTCCCTCGAGGGGTCCCCAGAAGTCCCTGGGTGGGATGGGAGTGACCATCCCTCATCTGATAACACTTGTCAGGAACACTGAAGGCACAGCTCTATCCAGGGGGGAGCCTCATTCGTCCATATTCACAACATGATGCAGGGTGATTTTCAGGGAGATCGGGTATTGTATTTTCTACCACATGTATTGAGAGATTTGTGGGGATCTGAGTGCCCTGGGGACAGGTGCTCTGCCAGGGGTGGCAGTCCCGTGGTGAGAGCAGTTGTTTGTGGGCTGGGGCAGGTCGATGCTGAGGGTGCCTCCAGCCCCAAGGCCTCAGATGGCCTGTGTCGGCCCCTCTGCTTCCCAGGTGTCCGTACCTGCACCGGACGACTGGGGACACTGAGCGCAAGTACCACCTGCGTTACTACAAGACGGGCACGTGCATTCACGAGACGGATGCCCGGGGCCACTGTGTGAAGAACGGGCTGCACTGCGCCTTTGCTCACGGCCCGCTGGACCTGCGGCCACCCGTGTGCGACATCAGGTGCGTGGGGTGTCCGCACTCCCCTCCCGGTGCCGTGGGCGCTGCCAAGCACAGCAGCGCTCTCTCCCGGCCTTGACTTCATTCCTGACGAGATGGTTTCCTTCCCTCTGACGCATGTGGCTGTGGGAGCTCCCGGGGCTGAGCTCGAGGGAGGTGGCCAGATCCTCGCTAAACACACAACTCAGCTCTGACGGTGTTGGATTTAGGGTTGTGCCCGAGGGCTGCCCGTGTGTAACCTTCTAGGTAGCTGCACAGAGTGACAGAAGCAAACGATTGTCTCCCCTTCCCGAAGGGCTGAGGCAGACACGCGGCAGAGTGGTGACCACTGTGTGGTTTGATCGTAGGGAGCTCCAGGCCCAGGAAGCCTTGCAGAACGGCCAGCTCTGTGGTGTGGATGGCATCCCTGACCTGCAGCCCGGGGTCTTGGCCAGCCAGGCCATGATTGAGAAGATCCTGGGTGAGGACCCCCGGTGGCAAGGTAACCCCGAGGCCGCCACGGAGGGGGGCAGGGGGCATTCGTCTCTGTCTGCAAAATGACCACAGAGTGGACCTCACCCCCTTCATTCGGAGACCAGATGGGGAAACTGAGTCTCCAGTTGCGGACATTACCCCCAGTCCCTCAGGTAGCGGCCGCCAAGTGGGATCTGAACCCACACGTCTGGTCCCCAAGGCTGCTCTGACCTTTACCCGGGCGTCTCCTTGGTGAGGTCAGCCACTGGCTGCCACCAGGGAGAAAATTGCGTTGCGGGCACAGCTCCTTCCTGGGCTTCCTGTCCCAGAGCTGGGCTGAGGTGGGGTTTGGCTTTTTCATTAGTAGATTTTATTTTGGGGGCTCTCTAGATATACGGAAGTTCCCACGTCCCCCCCCTTCCATGTTATAAACACCTGCACTGACCTGATACGTTTGTTACAATCAAGGAACCAAGATGGATACTTTATCACTAAGTAGTGAGCACAGTTTCCCTCAGGGCTCCCGGTGGCCTGGGGGTGTGGGGGTGGACTTGGACAAGTCAGTCTTGTGTCTGCCCTACGGGGTCCTACAGGCTGGTGCCACTGCCCCAGCCCCTGGTGACCCCTGGCCCTTTACGCCATCGTTCTGTTCCATGGCTTTGCCTTTTTCAGAATGTCATATAGTTGGAATCATCCAGGATGTAGATTTTCAGACGGGCTTCTTTCCTCTAGAGTCACATCATCCTGGCTTGCTAGCGCATGTCTTCTCACTTATAGCCCACTGTTGGGACGGACCACCATTCCTTTGTCCGTCACCTCCTGAAGGACTTTGGGGTCATAGGCTGTGTTTTGGTTGCCTTCTGCCATGAGTGTGGGATGTGTGTGCTTCTGGTGTGCGTTTGCATGCCTGGATGTGTGCACACCACGTCCTCACTGCCCCAGGAGCTGGGACTGCACGCTCGCAGACGACTTTCTGGATGCCTGGCCTTCATGTTTACTTTGCAGCTTTGAAGGCATCGAGGAGCCTGTGTGTGTCTCCTGGTTGCTGTGAACAGCTCATTTCTGCCTGTTTCATGGCACTTGGCAGGACTTTGTGTCTACCGGGCAAGTGGTCAACACTTGGGAATCAATATTCTATAATTTTTATTTTCTTAAAGTTGGCCTTTTTGTTCCTTAAACCCCTTTTGTTCTCTCCACACTCTCCTATGTGGTTTACCTTTCTTGTTTTTCGATGACGTATTTGAAATTGAATTTGGTGCGGCTGGACTCGGAGACATTTCTTAAGGGCTATGTGGCATGGCTCTGGGCTCTTGGGCTGGGCTGTCCCTCCCACTGCTGCTCTCTGTCCCTCCGCATGGAGCTCAGCGCTGTCCGTTATTAACCAGCCCAAGAGTGGTATGATTTTTAGGAATATCCTCTCATTAGTTTCTGCTGTTAAATGACCTCAGTGGGTTTTTTGGCTTGTTTTTGCTTTGAGATAAAATTCAAAGAGCATGAAATTAATCATTTAAAAGATATACCTATTTGGGGGCAGTTTTAGGTTCCACTGATGGGTAAGTACGGAGGGTTCCCACATACCCTGTGACTCCACGTGCTCTCCTTCCCCGCCGCTGTGGGCCACGTGTCCCCACCTACGAGCCGGCAAGGACTACATGCCCTTACCACCCAACGTCCATCGTTTACATCAGGATTAAAGTGTCCATTTCAGGGGTTTTCAGTATGTTTGGGGTCATGCAGCCCTGTTGGGAGCTAGTTTGAGACTCTGGCCCCCACGGTCAGCCCCACCCTCTCCCCCACCGCACCTTGTCTTTCCTGTCTGTGGATCTGCCGCGCACACCTTTCCTGTGGTGGAATCACATGGTCGCTAGACTCCTGTGTCTGGCCTGTCCCCAGTCAGCAGGTTCTTGACTTCATCTGGTTTGTAGCAGGTGTGCGTGGCTGTGGGGCAGACACAGTGTTCATCCGTCTACGGATACTGGGGATGCTTCTCGCTCTGGCCATGTGAGCGTATGTACACGTTCCCACGTGTACCCCTGTTTTTCAGACACTAACTTCGTGCTGGGCAGCTACAAGACGGAGCAGTGCCCAAAGCCCCCGCGCCTGTGTCGCCAGGGCTACGCGTGTCCGCACTACCACAACAGCCGGGACCGACGGCGAAACCCCAGGAGGTTCCAGTACAGGTGAGCCCCTGGGGCACGGGGCCCGTCCCAGCCTGAGCCCTGCCGTCATCTTGCATGGACTCGATGCTGCCTCACGTGCCCGAGAGCGCCCGCGCTTGTGGCGAGCTGGTCCGCGACAGCCAGGGTCCTCTCTCCGCGTCGTTTCGGGGCTGAGGGGCAGGGAGCTACACATTCATAGCCTCCAGGTGTTATTCACTGGAGGTCAGGTGGAGAAGATAAGACAAATTTACCGTGTATTGAAGGGATAGAAAATTGCTAGATAATAGTAAAATCTTATTTTTCTTGCTGTTAATTTTTTCCGTAAATTCAAAGAAATGAGAACGCTGCCAGTAAGTCCATGAAGAATGAGGATTTGGGTTGGGTTTTCACACTGTAGGATCAAACATCTCAGATTTGAGGGAGCATGCAGCGTGCGAGGCTGGGCCTGGCCTCCTGTCTCCCCAGCTGCTTCCCCGACATGCTCCACACATCAGCATGGGGGGATCTGACTCAGCCTTACTTTATGTTTTGTGGAAAATAAAAACAGGTCTCCTGAGTCCCTGTCTGGGTTTAGGTGGTGCTCACCCTGCTTTTGCGTGTCCTGGTAAGGAAAGAGGTGTGCGTCCGGGGCCATGCGCGCCATCCTGCTTGTGAGGGGAGCCCCGTGACAGCTGGACAGACGGGCAGCCCCAGGCGTGCAGGAAGGACACCTCTGTGTTCTTGGTGACCCCGCCCCATCCCCCCAGGTCCACCCCGTGTCCCAGCGTGAAGCACGGTGACGAGTGGGGCGAGCCTGCAAGGTGTGACAGCGGGGACAGCTGTCAGTACTGCCATTCCCGCGCGGAGCAGCAGTTCCACCCCGAGGTAGGAGCCCGTCAGCCACGGGAGCCACAGCCCCCCTCCCAGCCTGTGTGAGCGCGGGTCTCCTGTGTCTGGGCTCCCCGGGGACCACCCACAGGTCCGTGACTTGCTAGAAGGACCCACAGAGCTCAGCAGTGCTGTGGTGTCCACAGTTAGGGTTGTTACGGGATGCAGGCCGAAATCGGCCGAGGGCGGGGTCCCCAGGGGGGCGGGGTCCCTGGGAGACAGGCACTGATACCCAGCTGTGTCCTCCAGTGGGTCATGTGGACAGCGCCCACTTCTTCCAGCAGTGATGTGTCATCAACCAGGGAAGCCCCCCTGGCCCTTAGTGTCTAGGGTTTTTATCAGGGGTCATGTGGACGTGGCCGACCTTGGTCTCCAGCCCTCCAGCGGCTGAGCTGACACTGCATGGCCCAGAGCCGCCACCATAAGTCATGTTGTTACTGTCTCGTGTGGCCCATGACCAGGTAAACGGAGACACTTCCCAGGCAGGACTTTCCAGGGGCTCAGAGGTCGCCCCCCCCCGCCCCCAGGAGCCGGTGAAGGCCAGTCCTTCCTTTGGAATGTGCGGGGTATGGTCAGCTGAAGCTGAGCTAAGCAGCGCACACTTGGATTTGTGTTAAAAACAAACTAGCAGGGGCGCCTGGATGACTTGGTCAGCTGAGTGTCCAGCTCTTGATTTCGGCTCGGCTCATGATCTCAGGGTTGTGAGATCAAATCCTGCCTTGGGGGTCTGCACTTAGCAGGGAGTCGGCTTGAGATCCTCTCTACCTCTTCCCCTGCTTCCGTGCTCACTTTGTTTCTCAAATAAATAAATAAATAAATAAATCTTTTAAAAAACAAAACCAGGCGCCTGGGTGGCTCAGTCAGTTAGGCGTCTGCCTTTGGCTCAGGTCATGATCCCAGGGTCCTGGAATCGAGCCCCGCATCGGGCTCACTGCTCAGTGGGGAGTCTGCTTCTCCCTCTGCCCCAATCCCCTGCTTGTGCTCTCTCTCTGTCAAATAACTTTTTAAAAAACAAGTAGAATGCTAGCAAATCAGCCCCCCTCAGGGGGTGGGACAGTGTGGGGACCAGGGCAGGTGGGGGATGGAGGACCAGGGCCAGGCTTCCTGCCAGGAGGGCAGGCAGGGAGGGTGGGGTGTGCCGATCCCTGTGAACCAAGCTCGCTTGCAGGAGGGGGGCCGTGTGGGGAGAGCTGGGGGCAGGGGTGGAGCGGTCAAGTCGGAAAGCATGAAATGGGGACCTGTCAGTGCCCAGGCCAGGTGATGGGCCTGGGCACAGGGTTGCTCTGTGGCCTGTGCTGGCCCATCAGGAGCGAGACTCGTCCTATTCTGGCTGAGGGCTGCTCCTGGACCGGGGTCCTTGCAGCCCCAGCGAAGGAGGGCGAAGAGCCCAGGGGAGTGGCATTTGTGGGGGAAGGGAGGCAGGAGGCCTGGGAAGCCTTCCCGAGGGTGTCGATTGGGATCTGGCAGGGGTGCGGAGGGGCCTGGGGTCTATTCCTTGAGGGTCCTGGTGAGCTGGCGGCCAGAACCAAGTGTCGTTGGCACCATGAGAGTATTTTTGACCCAAGTGTAGTGGATCAGGGCTGGCTGTGGAGCTCACGCATGTACTCGTGTCAGGGGCATTGCTTGAGTGCCTGCTGTATACTGAGCCCTGAATTGGGTGCCTTTTCCGGAAACGCCAAGTGGTCAGTTGACTCCGTGTGATTTCAAGGACAGTGCAACCTGCTCTGTGGGAGGCAGGGGATTGTGGATTACGGTGTGTGAGGCACAGGCCACGTGCCCACCCCCTTATCAGGAAACCCCACTGAGATTTGGAGTAGGGCCCTCTGCGCTGTGACGCAGTAGCTCCTGGCTTCCTGCAGAAACCCGTTCCCAGCCGCCGAGCGGGGAGCCCGACTCTCAGATCATGACCTGAGCCGAAACCCAGAGCCGGACGCTTCACCAACGAGCCACCCAGGCACCCCTGTTTCATTTTTAAACTGTATCGATTTTATTATTTTACTTTTCGTTTCTTAGATCTACAAATCCACCAAGTGCAACGACATGCGCCAAACCGGTTACTGCCCGCGGGGTCCCTTCTGCGCCTTCGCACACGTGGACAGTGAGTGCCCGATGCCTGCTGCTTGTCTGCAGCAGGAGGGGAGCCAGCAGCCCTTGGCATGCCTTCCAGGGCACGTCAGGACAGCCCCCTGCCCCAGTCAGAGGCCGCCCTGCCCTGCGGGGCCCAGGCTTCTGGCTCAGTGATGACAGTCGCAAACTCCAGCTTCCCCTTCTGCTTTTCGTTTTAACGGGGAGGTTGGCTAGTCTTGTTGAAATTTCCTGTCTTTGTCGTGGCACTGCTGCTGCTCCCTCTCTCCTCCTGTCGCTTGGGAAGACTGTTGTCGCCAGGCCTGCCTCCCCTCCATCGCCTGGGGGCTCCCGGGACCGGGTCACCCTGCACATAGCTCTGTTTCCAGCCCACGGTCATTCAAAGCCCTCTGCCTCCCTTTCTTCACAGAGAGCCTCGGGATGGCCAATGGCTGGGGCTGCCGAGACCTGGCCCCCGCCCCCACCAGCAGCTCCGCGGCCAGCAGCGGCCAGCCCGCACACGTAAGTGGACAGCACCTGAGGCATGAGCACTTAGGGACACGGACGGAGGTGGTCTGCCTGTGGGGTCGGCGGCTCCTTCTAGAAGTCCGTGAGAGCCTGGCAGGCTTTTGGCCTGGGCGGGCTGACCCAGCTTCTCCAGACATGCACGCTTCGGCCACGCAGGACAGTGGTGTCGGGCTAAGCGTCAAGACGGGGCCCCAAGTCTGGGTGGGGCTCCTCATGGGTAGACAGCCGTGGCGGGAGGGGAGGTGTCCTGGCAGGGCCAGTCCCTCGATAGTGGCCGGGATGGCGGCCCCGGGCGCTGCAGGTTTGCTTCGGGCACAGAGAGATTTGGGGCACTCGCATCAGGGCCCTCGTGTCTGTGGGGAGGGGGCTGCAACCTGGTGCCCGCCCGTCCTGCTGGCTGTGCAGTGGGCTCCTTCCGTCTGCTCCCGCTGGATGCTTGCAAGAGGGCAAGAGCCACCCCTGTGGCAGGACGGAGGCGGCTCAGTGTTAGGGTCGCCGGGAAAGTGCCCACATACGAGGAAATGGGAAGCACATGGGCATTTCCCCACCCACCTTCCCATTTGGTGCTTTAAGAAAAAAAAAAAAAAAAAAAAACCACAGGAAAGGTGAAAAAAACCTGGGTGGAATTTACTTGCGAGGAGCCCAGCCGGTGAGACACCCGGTCGCAGTCTGTTCTGCTCCTCCCTGTGTCCTGCGTCAGAGGTGGCCTGGCCGTGGTTGTGCTCCACGTGGGTCGGCACACAGTGGCCTCTGCATACGTGTCTGAGCCCAGAGCCCAGACGGTCATGCGCCTGCTCTGTCCCTGCAGTCCTGGCTCCAAAGCACTGGGGTGTCCAGCATGATCCCGGCTCGCGTCCCCATGCCCACGGCACACAGGTGCCCCTCACTGTGCAGCCCTGGCCGGGCCCAGTCCTCATGCCACTGACTGTCCCCTTCACGCCCAGCCAAGTGTCCCCTGGCGGACTGAGTGGGGGAGTGTTCCAGACCACCAGCTGGCCCGTAGCCCAGCCGGCGCTGGGCATGGCAGGAAGCCCTCCCTCTCTCCTCTTGGTGGCTCCCAGGGGCCGTGGCAATCGTGGGCTTAGGTGGTGGTCAGAGGGCCACTGGCTTGGCCTCCCTGAGGGCCTGGCTGAATGGAGCCGGTTGGGGGGATTGTACCCAGGAAGGCAACATGTAGGATGGAAAACCCGGACCCCTTGGGGGACAGTGCCGGAACGGTGTGCCCACGCTTGCACACGGGGTCTGGTGAGGGCGTCTTTTATGTTTTGTTTTTCCTAAAATATTTTGCAATTTAAGAAGTCGGCCTGCTAGGGTGCAGAGTGGGGGCCAGGGCCACGGGCGAGCTCCTGGGGGCGGGGGGGAATGGATGTGTGAACTGTGCGGAGCTGATGGTCACACAACCTCATGGCCATGCTGAGTGCCACGGAGCCCTTCACTTCGGAAAGCTTACGCTCCTGTGAGATCATCTCCATTAGAATAAAAGGCCAGCAGGCTAGCGCTCTCTTGTGGGCCCACTCTGATCTCTGGGGCCCCGCATGGACCGTGTTGGTGGCGGCTCAGGGGCACGGCCAGCCTGGCAGCTGCCCCCATGAGCTCTCCTGCTGCAGCGGCCCCTCTGGGAGGGCCAGGCAGGGGGCGGTAGTGTCACCGGCCACCCCAGGGCACCAGGTCTGGACGAGGAGATCACGCCGGCGGGGGAGCTGTGCGGGGAGGGCTCAGTCTCCCCCTCACTCCCAAGTCTCGTCGTTTGTAAGGATCGACGTCAAACCCTATATCTTGACTTATGCACAGCGTGCGTCCCCCGCTACTTCCTTTACACCGTGAACAGAGTGTGTGTAAGTGGAGGTTCGGCACAAAAACCACGAGCCTCTGGTGCATCCTCAGACTCACTCCTGCTGCACTGACCACCACATCCATGCACGGGGCACGCCTGAGAAGCACCTGGGGTCTCACTGTGTGTAGACGTGGTCCTGGGTTTGAGGAATCTGGGTTTGGACTCCCCTGTTTCCAAGCAGGGGAGGGAAGGAGCATCTCCACGGCACGTTCCCTGCTTTGGGGCCTGAGTGGGCCGCGGGCCGGCTCTGTCCTCCCAGAACACACCGTGTGCTGATATTCCTCAACAGGATCAGGCTGTGAAATCCTAGAAAACATGTATGTTGTTCCTGATATAGCTCTTAGAATCCTTGTAATTTCCTGGGTGATAAAAACGTCTTGTTTTGAGGAGGTGACTCTGGGTGGGTTTCTCATAGCTCCTGGACAGGGGCTGGTCACCGGGAGGGCCAAGCCACGGTTAGAAGCTTGGAACCTTCTGCGCCACCCCGCACATCCCAGGGGGCAGGAAGGGGCCAGAGATGGAGTTAATGGGATGAACCTCCATGAAAATCCCCAAAGTACAGGTTGGTAGCATCTCTGTGCTGGGAAGGTGGCACTTGCCTGAGCTCAGGACTCTTCTGGACCTCACCTGATTTGTCTCTGGCTGTCTGTGTTATTTGCCCTATCGTTTGTTACATAATAAATTGGTAAATATAAGTAAGTGCTTTCCAAAGCTCTGTGAGCTGTTCTAGAAGGTGGCTGGGCCCAAGGAGAGTCGTGGGTGTCCTGATCCAGAGTGGTCAGTCACAAGCACAGGTGATGGGGCCGACCCCAGGCAGAGGGTGTCGGAACTGGACTGGCATCGGGACAGCTGACACTGGGGGTCAGAGTGCGGTGTGGAGTGTCCAGGGCCTGGCAGTGGGGAGGAGCCTGGACGAAGGGGCGAGGTCCCCCGTGGGGAGCCCTATATTCCGAAAGCAAGCAGAATGGTTTCAGGATAACCTTGCTTTCCTCACAATATCGCTTAGCCTGGAAGCATATGATACTCAGGTCTTTCGTCAGTGACTTCGGAGGCCTTCACCCCACTCTGCCGGTGGGAGGTCACTTCTGGACGAGAGAGATGCAAGGGACCCAGAAATACCAGGATGACCTCCGGGTTGAGCCCATGGCCAAATGTCCTGTAGAAGGAAGGGGCCCAGTCGGCACTTGCCTGGACACCTTCCCCTCCTCTGCCCCTGGTGATCACTCTGGGTTCTTTTGCAAATCCAGAAACCAAAAAGTGAAAGGAAGAAAGGCCAGGATGACCTGAGCCACCACTATGAGTTCACATACTGTAAAATGAGTCATAAAAGTCAGGATACTCTTTAGATCTGAAGGACATCTTGGTTTGCAGTTTTTGTGTTTATGTTGACCTAGGGGAGTACTTGTCCTGAGCTCTGAGCAAAGCCTTCATTGGGCACAGTGTTCTTGGCAGGTGGCTCGTCAGAATCAGGATTTGTATATGTGTAGGGGAGAAAAAAACGTTTCCCACTACCCTCTTAGGTTCAGTACCGGGGCCCCTGAAAATTAAACTGACAAAAGATAAACAGGAGGAAAGGGTTATTACTTACCTGTTTGTGAGGCTTCATAGAGAAGCAGTTAGACCTGGCAGCTTAATACCCTTTTAACAAAGAGCAGTAAATCGTGAAGTGGCAAGATGAAAGAAAAGGGTTTCTGTTTCCAGGGTGGTAAACTGTGGGACGGTAAATGTATGAGGGAAAGTAATGTCAGGTCAGGGTTACTTGGTGAGGTCTGTCCCACAGCCACTGTGTTGGCGAGGGAGTGCTCCCAGGTATGGGGGAGGGGAGGGCATGCCTTCACAAAGGAAGCTTACCCTCCCACCCCCCTGTGTTCAGCACTTTCAACGGAATAACCCTTCGCTTCAGGCTTGGGGGCGGTGGGCACAGCGCAGAGCTCCCACCCTCCCTCACGCTGCCCAGAGGTCAGAGGTCACTGAGCAGGTGTGAGAGACGGAGTCAGACCTGATGGAGGGTAGTGACTTGAACACCTTTGCTGTTTTCCGAGACTTCCGGACTCTGCATCTTCTCACTTGTGAGCAAAGCGTAGGTGTCTGTGTGTTTGGAGTCTATTGCTGCTTTCTTCTTCTGTTGCAGGCAAAGCGGAGAGAGGCCCCTGCTGAGGGCAGCCACCGGCCCAGCGAGCAGGACAGCAAGCAGGTACGGCAGGGGGGCAGCCCAGGCTGCTGGGGTTCACACGCCTTCCCTCTGACCCAGAGCCATCCGGCCATTGTCCGTTTGGTGCGTCATTATGTTCCCACTCTCTTCTTAAACTGGCCTGTTGCAGGGTCTTTTGTTTCAATGTTCAAAAAATACTGGTGTTGCACATTGGAGACAACGAAACCAAAACCCCGCGGGGAGCAAGGGGTGCCCTTCGTGGCCCGTCTCCGTGTGTCCTGGGGCTGCCCGAACAGAGCCCGCCCACGGGGCTGCTTCAGCGACAGCCCCGGACGCCCTTGCAGTCCAGAAGTCATCCGACCGGCCCCTCTGTCTCGCCTGGTGCTCTCCCTTGCATCCGGGTCTGTCTGCGATTTCCCCTTTTCATGAGGACACGGTCCTCCACTAGCACACTGGCCACTGCTGCTCTCTGCACTCAGAACACCGGTCTTTCTCCATCGCCATCCGCGCTTGGAAGTCCTGGGGGCTCCATGTGGCCTCCTGTCGTGGGTCTCTGCTATGGTCTTTATTCCTAATTCCTACACGGGCAACGCACCCGGTCCGCCTCTGCCCTGCTTTCCCCAGCGCCCACCTGAGGCCACCCTCAGAGGACTCTCCAGAGCGTCCAGAACAAGTTGTGTAGGTTCTTGTCTCCTTTCAGGAGCTTTGCAGTCAGAAAGGGAGATGAAAGTAAAAATGCAACATAGTTATTTTGTGATGTTTCAAAGAGATTAAAATGGTAAGACGTTCATTAAGAACCTGAAGCTTGATATGTTGGCAAAACATAGCAGGTGCACAGGGGCTCATGCACCTGCCAGGCCCAGACACCCCAGGGGCGGCTTTGCCACTGTGTGGGCCACCCCGGGGACGTCGCGCTGGCCCGCCATCGCCCAGTGCATCCTCATGTACACCAGCAGCCAGGAGTGATTTGCCAGGCTCATCTTCAGTCTCCCGCCTGCCTGTGCCCAGAGACGTCCTCCGTCCCATCCCAAAGCCAGCCTGGGGATCCCCAGGTCAGCAGAGTGGCTCCCAGCATTTCCCTGGGACCCCCAGTTTTAAAGGCCACGTGGCTGGAGGCCAGCCTGGCGGCCCTCTGGAGACCCCTTCCTTGCTTCTGGGCACCTCTCTACCCGCAGGCTCCAGGCCCTCCTTCCCTGTAGCCTCAGGGAGACGCCAGCCAGGGTGTCCTCAGGTTTCAGGATAAAGTGTCACCTGATGTTTTTGAGGGACACGTCTCCCTGCGCTATGGATTTTTGGGTGGATGAAGCCATAGCAGGTGCCTCAGGCCAGCAGCTCCCAGCCTGGCTCAGCGTGTGGGGCAGACTGTGGGGTGCCTACACCGCCTTCCTGCCTCAGCTGGGGACACACGCAGCCCAGAGGAGGGACGGAGTTGGGGGATGGAGCAGGCGGCCTGCGGTGTGGAGGCAGTGGGCCCACCTTCTGAGCCTGAGCCCAGGGAGCGCCAGGGGACCTCGCTCTCCAGACTTGTGCGGTTCGGGTTCACGTAAAACGGTGGCGGTCTTTCGCAGCGTCCCTGGTGCTCGTGGCTGATGTCTGCACCGGGGGCCCCTCTTGAGCACAGCCAGCCGTCCAGGAGGAAACACTCGGAGAAACTATCCTGTGTGAGATGTCTCTTCTCTCATGAAACATGTATTCTTTCATTATTATTATTACTGTAGAAAATTTCACTTAAGCCAACAAACTAGTAAAGCCCTCCCCTCCTTGGATGGTCTCGTAGCCCCTGCACAAAGCTAACTTCTGTCTCGTTTTGAAGCAAAAACCAGACGCCACACATTTCCCTCCAGTGTGGCTTCTGGTCCCCGACTACACGGTGACTGGGGCGCGCTTCAGCCGCCGCGTGCGGAGCCCCGAGCCCTGGCTTGCAGCCCGTCCTGTGGGTCATTAGTGTGCCGGCCGCCCTCCAGGACCGTGCTGGTTCTGATCTGTTACCAAATAAAGATCACGGGCGTTGCCCCATGCTTTTTACCTTTCTCAGGTAACAAGATCATTTTTTCTGTTTTCAGAAGCTGTGTTGGTTCTCTGCTGATGCCCTTTGGTGGATTTTTTGTTTACCACCATGTGTCTGCTCTTGAAAACTATTTCTGCAGAAAAGCTCATTAAACAGAACATTTTCTAGATGCATTTGTGCCCGTCCCTGGGTGAGCAGCAGCTAGTGACTCTGTCTGTCCTGGTTATCGTAACCAACTAGGCATTTAAAGCTCCTCTGGGATATTTGGAAGAGTCCAACTTCTTTATATTTTGCTTTGTGGAAAGAAGTTAGCCAACTGTCCCATCCGTGTTCCCCCCCCAGCCCCCCGCCATGGCCTCCGTCACTGAGCTGTCACGTTGCTGTTCTCCGCGCGCATCTGCTCACCTTGTTTGTGTGTCTTTGTGCAGAACCACCTGTCAGTGTCCGCAGTGGCTCACCCGCTCGCCCCCAGCGTGGGTTCCAGCGTGGCGTCCAGCCTGGCGTCCAGCGCCGGCTCCGGCAGCTCCTCTCCGACCACCCTGCCCACCCTCCCGGCCCGCGCCCACCCGCTCGAGCCCCCCGGCGGTGCTGCCGAGCCCCCCCCAGGTAGGTCTAAAACTTCCCCCTCGTCTCCCAACTTCTCTTCGCACCTAAGTTGTATTTATTTCAGGACACGTGGCACAATGCTCCTTGTTGTAGGAAAGCCACCTGTGCTCTGGGAACCACCCCCCCCCACCCCTGGCAGCAGCCACCTGGCCCTAAGACGAGAGTGGAGGAGCGTGGGGTTGAGGACGGCCAGAGGCCGTGGCAGGCTGAGGGGCCCTTAGCTGCTGGGAGTCTTCGAGGGTTTGGGGACTGATGACCCACGTGATTGCAGCCCGGCCGGAGGGAGGGGCTTGTGCTGAAAGCACCGGGTGAGGGGAGGGGCGTGGAGTTGGAGGGGGTGACCTTGCTGGGCTGTGCAGGCCCCCAGCCCACGTCTGGGTGGTCCCATGTGTGGCCGCAGCTGCGGAGGGCTCGCGTTGCCGGCCTGACCTGAGCCTGCATCTCTGTCCTGGTAGAGGGAGACTCGGCAAGGGCTCTGTTCGTGGCTCTTTCGGTGTTCTCGCTCCCAGGGTGGGCCGGGACGGTGTGGCCGTGGGCAGGACAGGGAAGCTGCTCCAATGAGACGCCCGACATAGCTCCAGCGCGGTCCGTCCTTGCGCCCTGGGCCCTGGAGCACACCCCTTCTTTTCCGCCTTCTGTCCTGGGGACTGGGGAGGGGGGACCGGGAAGGCCCCTGTGTATCTGTGTCAGGGCTCCGGGTGGCCAGCCCCGAGATGGTTTTTTCCTACCCAGAGATAAACGTCTGTGGCTGATGGCCAAGGAGTGTGTGCGCGTTGTTTTCCACTCCCTACAACTCCTGCACCCCGGTCACACCGCCAGCCTTGGGGCCTGTAGCTGAGACGCAGGTGCAGATGGCGCCGGCCCAGCTCGGGGAGGAGAGGGTGTCTTTCCAGCAGCCCTGTAGATTGCAAGTCCCAGACTTGAAAGGGGCCGAGAGCCACTGTGGTCCCTCCTGCTGACGTGAGGGACACCTGGCAGGCATGCGCAATCCTGCCCGGGTGTCACGGCCGACTCCTCGGGCATTCTCCGCCTTTCCGCCACAGCCTGGCCTTCCTAGAGCCACTGTGCTCATTCTGAAGAGATTCTTCAAAGGTCATTCTTCTAGAAGCCCGGAGACATTCTGTGGCTGGGTGTGTCTTCCCGCACAGCCCTGGTGTTCCCGCTCGGGCTCTCCTGTGGAGCTGTTTCCTCTGCCAAAGAACCCTCTAGAACTGAGCTGGCCCCACCCCCTAGGAAGGGGTGCTGCAGGGAGAGAGGGCACCCTTGATGCAGCCACCCCCTTCCCCTACTGGTTTTTTCTGAGCCCTGACTTTATCTCCTTGCCGGGCACAAACTTGTGACCCCCGCTTCCGTGCTCTGGGCTTTTGTGGAAATCCTGTCCACGTGGGCGTGAAGACGGCCCACCGCTGTCCTGGCTCTGCCTTAGACCAGGGGCGTTTGTTCAGGTCTTACCTCCTTCATGGGTAGGTTGTGTGTGTGTGTTCTTCGAAGCACCAACACACACGAGCATTGGAGCTTGACCTGGAATTGGGGTTGAGCGAGGTGTCCCTCTTGAACCACAGAGGTCTCTGGTTATATGTGGACTCGACGTAGCCAGCGGGCTCGAGAACTCAGCCCTGCCTCTCACCCGGAGGCCAGCTGTGCCAGCGTTTGCACATCTGGCCGAAAGGTGCCACGGGAAGGCAGCCCCAAGCTGTCTGGCCACTGAGCAGGTCCCCTCCGCACTCGGGGGCTGAGTGGTTGGTTATTCAAGGAGCACAGTCTGTATGGTGTCTCTCAGCGGCTGCCCTAGAGAATGCTAGACTCTGGCGCTTGGCTGCCCTACCCGCATGGTTAAAGCACACGGGGCAGGTGTGTTTCCACCTGGACAGGAGCCGGAAAGCCATTGGTATGAATGGCATGTTTGATTTTATTGTTTTGGGTTTTATGCAGAGTTTTTAAAAATAAAGCTTATTTTCCCCAGTTTAAAGGTAGTAATAGTAAAATTAGAGCATCCTAGAAGTCATTAGGCAAGACACTCCCTGCCCTAAACGGCTGAGGCTGTACTCAGCTCTGTTCCCCGAGGAACAGATAGAGCTGGGTGCACCTGTGCTTTGAAAGCGGCCTCGAGGCAGGTGTGGCAGCTCCAGATCAAATCTATGTATTTTCAGTGTCCCCAGCTGTCATCCTTCCAGCAGGGGGTCCTCAGCCTGTTTGCATGTGTCACTGAGCATTTTGCAGGTCCTTCTTTTCTTCACCTAAATGTTCCGTGAACCAGCTACCCAGAGTGAAGAGGTTAATGTCTTTTCAGGATCAACCTTGCTTGTTACAGATAGTACATTTTTGTTGCTGTTAAAATCATGAGCTGCTGCCATCGGTGGGACCCTCCTGTTCTCTCCCGAGATCACGTGTCGTCATACCCCAGTAATATTGGCCCAGTTAGGACTCCCCAGTGCTGCCCTCTGGCCCCAGGAGGGCCCTAGCCAGCCACCTTTCTGCTGCTCAGGGGCGCCGGGAAAGAGGCCCCCCTACTCCTGAGGCTGGCAGATGTAGACTGGCTGGTTTCTCCTTACATAGGGTAGTGTGGCTCAGGTTCTGTCCTTACCAGTGCACTGCCTACAGAGGAGTAAACTCTAAAATAAATAGACTAATTGTGTAGTTAATGGATTTAGTGGAATAATTTCAGGGCCATTTGGCAGATTCCGTTTCCTTTGCCTTCCACTTCATGTGAGCAGGTTTCAGATTAAAATAGTGACCATTGAAATAGTCGTCTGCGGAGCTCACTGCCGGGAGTGGCTGGGAGTAAAGGGCGGGAGAGCCTTCATCCCGACACCAGACGGACTATGGAGGGGCTGGAGGGCCTGGCCGCGGGCTCGCAGTGACCTCGAGGGCAGGGGCAGGGCGTGTTCATCCTGACCCCGGCCTGGCCCCGGGCCACGGCGTGCTCCCTCGTGGGCGCGCTCACACCTGAGCCGGTCCGCCCCGAGCGAAGACCCTTTCCCTGAACAAAAGCGGCCCTGCCGAGCGAAGCCCCCGCGTGTACCTGAACCTGGGCTTTGGGCACAATGCCTCGAGGCTCCGAGAGGCTGGAGGGGCAGGTGCCTGTGTCAGGAGGTGCGCGCCCCGCCCGGGGCCCACACACAGGGCGGCGAGGGATTGGGGGTTCGGAGGACTCGGGCTGGCTGGGCCCGCCCACGCGCGCCTGCCCGCGGCCCCGGGACAGGTGCGGCTGGGCCGGATCGGGTCGGGTCGAAGGGCTGCGTCAGAGGGGGCGGGGCTGGCGCGGGGCGAGTCGGAGGGTCTTGACGTTCCGGGACCCGGCCGGCAACGGCGTGGGTGGTGCGGGTCTCAGGGTTACGTCACTCGGGGCGGGGCTGGCGTGGGGCCGATCGAAGGGTGCGTCACCCGGGAGCGGGGCCGGCACGGGTGGGCGGGCCGGTCTAATTTACGTCACCGGGGGCGGGGCCGACGCGGGGCGGGCGGGGCGCGGGCTGCGTTTGAATCGGCGGCGGCGCGGTGGACGGTGAGTCAGCATCGTCAGCCCCTTGCCGTTTGGGTGTGGGTCGTCGTTATGCGGAACTGGCTGTGCACCCCGGGCGAGGTGAGAGCCAACCCCTTCTCGACGCGCCTCCCTGCCAGGGGCGCAAAGCCCCTTCCCCGGTTGCGCTTCCTCCCCAGGTGCCCATGCCCCCAGGTGAGGTGCGTCTCTCACCTCCCCGGTGTGCCTCCTCCCCAGGTTCTCCTCCCCCCCCCCGCCAGGCGAAGAGTGTCTCCTCTCCCCCTCCCCCCGCCCGTACCTTTCTCCTCCCCAGGTGCACTTCCTCTCATCTCCAGGTGCTGCTCATACCCGTTGTAGTTGCCTGTGTGCCGGGCCAGGTGTGACAGCCAGGGGTCAGTACCAGGTTCCTTGGAGGCTGTGCAGGGATGTGAATGCAAACATACCCTTTTTGGGAACCTGCTCTGCAGAGGCGCCCGCTGGTTCCCTGCGTGGGCGCGAAGCCGCGGGGCCTTTCCAGGGGGAGAGGTGCATCTTTTGCTCCCCAGCGAGGCTGGGGTTCCTGCCTTGTCATGCCGGGGATCGTCGCCTGCACTGTTGGAAATTCAGGCCGGTGGGTGAGTGGGTTTGCCGGCTGCTTCTCCATCCTGTGTTAGGGGAGGATGGCGTGCTGGGGGGGCATCCGGCCCTGGCGGGGGAGCACCCCGGGCATCAGGGCTGCCCTGTGCTAGTCTTTAATTCTGTGCACCGTGCGCATTGTCCCTGTGTGTCCCTTGACCCCGAAGGACCGCGTCGCCTCTTGAATGTGCTGTGTCACGTCAGGATCTGGGGATTGCCAGGGCCATTACTCAGCTCTCCGCTAATTTCTCATGAACATCTGGGCGGTTCCTGGTAGTTGGGCAAGGCGGGTTCTGGGTCAGATGGCACGGTTTTCGTAATTTGGCTCTAGATTTTGAGTGCTCAAGTCTTCTTAAAAGTCTGTTCTTCCTTTGGGAGAATATCCCGGAGGACCTCTGACTCAGAGAGCAGTGAGGTGGAGGAGCAGTGAGGTGGAGGAGACAAGGATCTTCCCCTGAGACGAGCATCCAGTGCGCCCCGGCACGCTGGCTGCGCTGTCATGGGCAGGCCGGCCCCTCTGTGTCCCCTCTGCGCCTGAGGCTGGGGGAGGGGGGTATCTCTGCTGAGTCATGGGGTGGGGGTGGGGGACTGTGATAAGATAAATCTTTTCCAGGTGAGGAAAGGTTCCTGCTTCAGCTTCTTCTCCCCAATCTGTTAGTTTATTTGTGCTTTTGTTATGCAGAAAGTGTTTCTAGGACTGTCGGATTAAAACATATCACGCCTAACCTGGTGCTGAAGGTTAAGTCTGCACCGTCAGGTCTGGCTGATCTGCCTGTGCAGGACAGAGGCTTGGGACCCTAGGCCAGCACAGGAAGGGTGGGTTTGGGCCTCCATCCTTGTGGCCACAGCGCAGAGCGTGGAGCGATGGGGGCAGGGCAGATGGTGGGGGGCAGTGCTTGCTTTCACCAGGTGAGTCTGCATGGGTTCCAGGTGCCCTCGAAGTCTGGGCCGACGTGCAAAACGAGGGTTTGTGAGGCTGAGCAGAAGTTCTCACAGGACAAGGGGGAGCTGATGGAAGGTCTGCCAGGCTGCAGCCTACAGCAGTGTTGTGTGACAGAGAGGAAGAGCCACAGTGGGGGCTGGGTCTGGCCCGAGTGTCCACCAGCACGCCAAGGGGCACAGTCTTTTTGGGAGGAAGGACTCTTGACGTGCTGGGGGATTGGCATCATAGAAAAGCCACTTGAGGGACAGTGCTGGTGGGGCATGAGGGCCAGCCTGCTGAGATAGCTGGAACTTGGAGCCCTCACTGGTGCAGGTTCAGGGAGGATGGAGGGGCTGAGGTCTCCTGCTGGGCTCCTACTGAGTGCATGGGCCCTGGTGCACCAGTGAGGGAGGCCCTTGTGTCCACAGAGTTTGAGAAGCCACTGATGCCGCAGGTGGCCTCTTCCTGGTAGGAGGCGGCAAAGTGCACTGGGGGACGTTGGCATCTGAGGGTTAGGGCTGCCGAAGCCGGGTGTGTTTGGGCATGGAGCAGGCACTGGAGGGGCTACCAGGCTCCTCAGAGAGGGTAGGAGGGCAAGGTTGGGAGGGATGCTGCCTTTTCAAGGGGGTACGGAGGCATGGGTACAAGGCTGGAGGGCTAGGCTTGGCAGTTTGGAGCGAGGTGGAGACAGGATGTCAAGAAGGGGTGGGGGTTGGTCAGCGAGGGGTGGGCTTGGGTGAGTGGTGTCAGGGTCTGCAGTGTCTGCCCCAGAAGCAGGTGCACCCTTCGGGCGGTTCATAGTTCTGTCCGGGGAGGGTGCCAGGAGTTCTGAGCCTTTGGTCTACTCAAGGAGATGCCTGTTCAAGCACCAGAGCCCCTGAGTGGTTAGGCAGGTGTCTGTTCATGGCTCCCATGGCTCCCATTATTGCCGGTTGAATTATGTGTGCTCAAAAGGTAGGTCTCAGTTCTGATTTTTTGTCTGAGAATGTGATTTTATCTGGAAACAGTCTTTGCAGATGCAAACAAGGTAAAATGAGGTCATTTGGATGGGTCCTAACCCAGTGTGATGTGTGTCTTTATAAGAAGAAGGTAGTTTAGGGGCGCCTGGGTGGCTCAGTCGTTAAGCGTCTGCCTTCCGCTCAGGTCAAGATCCCAGGGTCCTGGGATCGAGCCCCACATCGGGCTCCCTGCTCGGCAGGAAGCCTGCTTCTCCCTCTCCCACTCCCCCTGCTTGTGTTTCCTTTCTCGCCGTGTTTCTCTCTGTCAAATA